TGGGGTTAATGTTTTCCTTTGTAATGTTTCCTTTGGTAGGTGAGAAGAAGCTGGGTACGGTGATCACTCCCGATACGTGGAAAGATGGTGCTAGAAATACTACAGGTAACCCTGGGGTTTAACACTTTTCAGGTTTCTTAAAGCCAGTTGGGCACCTGAGCTGTCTCATGCTCTTAAGGCTAAAATTTGAAATAGTTAATCAGGTTAATTTTTAACTCCTGTAGTTTGTCTCCCATACTAATGTAATGTATTGGGAATTTATTTACCCTGAGCTCTTCAGTATTGAGCTTGTCTGTTTATTTTGTCCTTACACAGAGTGACGGTGCACGGTATAAACCACTCTGCTGTCCTGTGCTTTAATGCCGTGTTGGTGCACACATGAAAGCTCTAACAGCTCTTTTTAAGGTATGCTTGGAACTGGGAAGTTTATTGGTTTATGGTTTTATTTTTTTGTAGAAAGTGGTGGCCGCAAGCTAAACGAAAACAAGGCATTGACCTCGAAGAAGGCAAGGTTGGTATTTAGTACTGATTTTGTCTAAAAAAGTAAGTTTGCTGTGACTCAGGCCTGTTTCCTGCATATCTGGGCAAGTATGCAAAGCTTATCCAAAATATTTAGTTATTTTCTTAAAAAAGATTTTGTGGCAATTATGACATTTTTAGTTCTGTAGTTGTTACATTTATGTCCATAATGCTAGAAATCTCTCTTAATGGGGGAGGTGGGAGCTTTTCTGTAGACTTTGTGCAGCCTATTAGAAATAATCTTTGTATGTCCTTTTTCTAAATTACAGTTTTTAATGGAATTTCTGTCTGTGCTCTCTGGCTTAGACTTTTTAGGATGAGACAGGGGAAATACTTAATTTCAAAGTGTATAAGTAAAATACTTTTCCTTTTTTCCAGGTTTGATCCTTACGGAAAGAACAAATTTGCAATATGTCGGATTTGTAAGAGTTCTGTCCATCAGCCAGGGTCTCACTATTGTCAGGGATGTGCCTATAAAAAAGGTGAGTTTCGCTGAGTACCAAATTATCCCAGTTTGGTTTGATATTAGAGAGCAAGTGGAACTCTTGAATTTGTTTCACCTCACAAAGAGAAGGCTAAGATGATATTTAATTGCTGTCTTCAACTACTAACAGAAGAGCCTGACTCCATCTTCTCTATGCCTTCCTGAGGTGCACAGTAATAGAGTAAGAGACAATGTACACAGGTTACAATGTGGAAGATACTAATAACATACAAGGAAAGCAATTTTCACCATGAGAGTGGTTAAATGTTGTAATAACAGGTACCCACCGAGGTTGTGGAATCTCTACGGGAGGTATTCAGAGCTTGACTTGAAAAGCCATGAGCCGGCCTCATCTGAGCTTGCCATGTTTTGAGTGGGGCAGGACTAGAGACTGCTGGAGATTCTTTCCAGCCTAAGTCATGCTGTGATTCTGCATCTTTGAGAATGCTTCTGGTATCTAAAGCAGTAGAACTGGAAGAATAACTGTGAACTTTATCTTGGCAATTGCATAGAAAACTGTCATATAGCAAGTTTGGTTTTTCTTGTGGTTTTTTTAAATTACATTTTGTAAAACTCGATTGCTTGTTGTAGTCCCTTTTTCTGCTCTCTTCTCCTCTCTTCCATTTTTATAATAGCTAAATCTAAAAAACTAAATAGTGGTCTCAAAAAAATCCCTACAAAAAACATAGCAAATAAATAAAAAAACCCCCACAAAAAACCCAAACCAAAACCCGAACACACCAAACCCATCCACCCCACAAAAAACCCACAAAACAAACAAAAATCCAACTTCTGGTCTTGGTAAAGTGATAGGCTAGCTTAGTAAAAGTAGAATACCTGGCAAATAAAAAGCAAAGATTAAGAAACTGAATTGAAAGAGCATTTACGAAAGTGTCTTTAAAGGCAAATATTGCTCATGATTCTCTTTGTTCCTGCATGTATTTTTACACATTCAGTGTCTTAATGTAAGCCACTGAAAAATTAATTTATCTAAAAGAAGTCTCTGGTCCAGTTATGAACATGCTTGTTGCATTGTAAGTCAAGCATGGGTGAAGGTGAAACTGAAAAATGGAAAAGTATAATAATTTTCCCTAGAGAGCAAGATACTGCACTATGCCATACATAATATATAAAATCTTTCTGTACTTAAGAGTTTTGTATGAATGACTGCACTGAAATTCTGCTTATACGTAGAAGCTTTCTATCTCCCATATTCATAATAAGCCTTCAGTATTGTAAAAACTGTTCAAAAATTCGTGATGGGGAAAAAAATCCATTTCAACCGAATTTGATAGAGAACCTTAAGAATACACGATTTTTAATAGTCTTGTGATTTTGAGTAGGTAAGCAAAAGGGCTCAAGCTTGTAATTCCTGGAGAGGACAAAAAAGCAACATGAACTCAGTTACATTAATAATACTGAAGAATCCACATAGCGCACAGGCATGGGGTGAACCAATTGTTAGATGCAGAGCTACAGCTAACCAGTAGTAAGTTTTTTTTTTTATGAAATGACTTTCATTGTTCTGTAAATGTGCACTGTGTCACTGCATCAGTGGTTTAGCAGCCTGCTGCAGGAGAGTTGCCTTTTCTAGTTGCTAGATGCTCACCAGATGGCTGTCTGAATCCCGTATGGTAGAAACTTGTTCTCTTTCTTAAATGTATGGCTGGTTTTGGTGGGCTTCAGGGTTTCATCTTTGCTTGTTTATCCTTCCAGGTTGAATCTGGTTTCTTGATAAAATTCAGAACTTTTAAGTTCTTCAGGTTGTAGTTCTGACTATCAAGGACGTGGTTGTGGCATGTTTCTTGAAGCAAATGCAGTCATATGGCTTATGCTTCAACTGTTGCTTATCTCTGAAATTGAGAGGCAATGTGAAGTTAATGACTCCTCAATTTAGACTTGAAGTGAACAGCCTGTGGGCTGGATTTTGCTCTCCAAAGTAAATCATGTGGTATGTTCCCTGCTGTTCTCTTTTCTAATGGACTTTTAGATATGTGTCCAGTCACATGATGTCAATACATGAAAGCACACTATTTGGAGAGAGTTAACAGGAATAGTTGCCACTTGATTTTGTTGTTGTTGTTGTTTGCTGATGAATGGTCTTGTAAAACGAGATGTGGCCCTACCTTCACTTCAGCTTTCAAGTATTCTTGGTGTCTATTGTTTCTCAGGTCTACTACACTATAAATAGTTTAATTTTATGAAGCTACATTCTTGTCAACTTTCTCAATTGTCTGAAGCTCCCCACCTGCTAATCTTTCAATTAGCAGTCAGTTTGTGGTGACTGTATTTTCTTACCCTAGCTACTTTCTGCCTATCTCGAGCCTCAGTTTGGTGACAGGACTTAAAATGTTTAGTAACACACCATTTTACCTGTTTGCCAGATGGGAGCCTTTCCTGGCTCTCCTTCCACTATTCTAGCAAATTACAGAAGCTTCAGGCAGTGTTATGAGTCATCATGCTCTCAAAATAGAGCTTATTTTTTTCAAGGAGAATATTACACATGCTGCAAATATTAATTTGTATTAGACGTCATATTACTACTGAATTTGCAATATCTGATGAGAAAAATGCACAGAGAGATTGTCAATGAGAGCTTATTTGAACAATTTTTTGCAAAAGGATCTTTACAAAAACATAGTAGCTATGTTTTTGAAGAAAAATCTTAATGATTTGTAAATAATTTACACACCTTTTGTGTGTTTATAGGCATCTGCTCAATGTGTGGCAAGAAGGTCTTGGATACGAAGAACTACAAGCAAACTTCTGTCTAATTGTATTGATCAGTCTTTTTATGAACTTTAACTTTTGTGTCTTTGTACAATTACTTTTCTCTAAAATAATTTGTGATTATTACTTTCTGGAAGATAATACATTTACTTGGAATGAGATGAGAGGTAAAGACAGTCTGTTGGCCTAGAAATGTACATAATATTTGATTTTTGTTGTTTTAGCACTAATGTTAACTGATATTTAAAGGTAATGGTTTGCAGCAACTGATACAGTTCAAAGTGAATGAGAAGATCCTAGTGGATAGGTTGAAACTATGTTACCATATAACTCAGGTCTCTGAGGTTCACACTTTTATTGTTCTTTTGCTGTATCTTGAGTTTTCTCCTTGTCCGATAGTAATATTTTATTGACGTATAAAATATGACCTTGTATGACCTCATTAAAGAAGTATCTTCATTTAGTTTTATGCTTGTAGGCATTTATAATTACTCTCAACCCAAAATATTATGTCCTCTAAGTATTGTTCTTCATATTTTAATGCAATTGTCCTGTTGAATTTTGTTTCTGCCTGCAGTAGGACTGGTTAAATCACAAATTGGTAAGCTACTGAAATCTAGTGTGTTACTCTGCCAGTTCTTACTTTGGCAGTAAGACTGATTAGCTGTTCCCCTGCCAGTCTCTAAGGAGGCTTTACATATGGCATCTGGTGGCCCAAGGCAATAAAATAATAAGCATCAATTTCTAATGCCAGGTCTCAGTCTCGTAATTTCATAAGTTAGTCTGGCTTTTAAACACTTGGTTTCAAACTGGCTCTTGAATTCTATGGTTTAATTGCTTATATGCATGTCAAATCTGAAAAATTAAAACAGGCTGCCTTCTCTTCAGCATTGGTTTGAGATAAGATTTGCAGTGAGCGTCCCTGAACATGAGAGGCTGAGTGTGGCTCTACATTTCTTTTGTCCTTTGATTAATTTCTACATAAGAAAGCAATTTCTATTATGGGGAGCAATAAGTGTTCACTGTGCATGCATTTTAGGGAAAAGAATGGTAGTCTTAGTTCCATGGGGGGTTTTAACTAGACCTATTTTAAGTGTTTACTCCTCCCAGCAATCTCCTCTTGTCAATCTCTTATGCTTTTGCAACTTTCTTTCAATAGTAGGAGAGAAACTACCAATGGGAATTTCCCTATGAATAGATACCCTGTTTTAGGTCTCCTTTTTTTCTAGTATCTATTACTGACACAACTGCATGACTAATGGAGACTGAAAAATCGCTGTTCTTTCTATGTGTCAGTGGGAGAAAATGAAGAATAACGCGGATATAGTTATTCTCTCTCAACTCCTGCCATGCTGTGGTTGTGCTGTTAGTAGCCCTCTAAAGCGGAG